GAAAGAAAGAAAGAAAGAAAGAAAGAAAGAAAGAAAGAAAGAAAGAAAGAAAGAAAGACCTATGAAAAATTGGATCTGCTTGTATACTCTTTGGCCCCAGCAATCCCTGTGCTAGAATTTACTTTCACTTATGTATTTGGTGCAGGGTCTCACTACCCAGCTCGGACTCGCAGTGATCCTCCTGTTTTCCGCCTCCCCAGCCCTGGAATTACAGGCGCACGCCACCACGTCTGGACTCATTTGCCAGCTCAGCCTGCCCCGAGGGACGGGGCTTGCAAGGCATGTGGGACAGGAATTGAACCCTGGTCCCTGTGCTTGCCAAAGTAGGCGCTTGGTCCTCTGAGCTATCTCGCTAGCTCTAGAATTTACTTTCAAGTATACTTGCAGGTATGCAAAATGACAGCAATGCTCATGTAAAGGTCCAGAAAAGCTTTAAATGTTCCTTAAGAAGAGAGTCTAGGGAGGCACTGCGTGAGCGACTACTCCTTCAGCCTTACCGGGATCCCTCCAGCTGGACCACAGTCTGCCCGAAGCCCCTTGCGCTCTCCTTGAAGGTGATTGGAGTCTCGGTGTCCAGGTTGAATCCATGACATAAGGCCAAGGCTGGGGGAAGGCAAAAGGGGGCGGGTCAGGCCGAGGGGCGGGCCGCCAGCCTGCCCAGAACCCCCAACCCAGCGTCAGGACCCGGATGTCCGCCTCCTCGCACAGCTCTGCCCACCTGGCGGGGCACCCAGCACTGTCTGTACCGAGGGCCAAGTAGTAAATATTCCAGTTTTGAAGGCTGAGAGCCAGCGCGTGTTACACCAGTGCCCGAACAAGAAAAGATACATTCCCACAAGTTGTTCACCAAGGAAATCCGCAATGCAATTCTTACCTATAATTTTTTGTAAACTAAGCTTACTAACAAAACACAACTGCAGTTCTTTAGGGAGATGGTATCTCACTTACCTGGGATTCAAACTGAGTGCTCCCACTCACCAAAGAGATTGTAAATGTTCCTATTTAACTAGGACTCATGAGCACCAGCCGACAAGCCCCTTACCACACTGACACTGGCCAAGTCTGACATTGGCCAAGGCCACTGTCCCAGGCTGAGCAGGTCCCTGTCTAAGCTCCAGCCTCAGCTGAAGGAACAACCGGCCCTTTACCAAGCTTTGCCACACAACCATTTGTCCAACAGTGCAGTAAAGTTTCCTTCCTATCTAACTCTGAAACATTTCCTTCCCTTTTTGGTTTTTATTTTTTTTATTTTCCACAAAAGATAGGCACAGAAAGAAATTAACTCATGTCATTTTGGTTCATCAGCCACTCAACAAACGTTTACACTTAATACTTGTTAAACAGGATGAGAGGTGAAGTGGAGGAGGCAAAGCAGACTCCAAGAGGAAAGATGCTGGCAGGAGAGACCCACACCTGCTGCGCACATTGGCCAAGTCAGTCGCCTCTCCAGGCCTCAGTTTCCCTGACTAGGAGATGAGAGGAGATCAAACAGCCCCCACCCAAGCTACCTTGCCCTTCCCACCTTGGTCTCGCTCTCCTCTCTGCTGCTTCTTCAATTATTTATCCAAATCCTCTTAGTTCTTCTCCAGTCTTATTCTTGCACTGTCTATGCACCTTCTCTGTACTCAGACGGAAAAGTGCCCCTCTGCCCCACCTAGAGGAACCCCAAATCCCCAGTGTACCTGTCACCAGCAGAACTCTACAGGTCATGGCCGAAAGGAGCAGGAACTTGGGAGAGGCATAAGCTGCGGGCCAAGAGACACCAATGAACCACTTCAAGGAAGTCCCCAAAGCCAGGCACAGTGAAAAAGAGAAGTTGGAGGACACAGGCTGCTCCGACTCAGAGGAAGAGGGTGGAGACCCAAGCTGCTCCTCTTTCCACCTGAGCCCACGCACCTCCTACGTGCTGTCCTGGATCAAGGCATCAAGGTCACTACCCAGAAGGCGTCACCACTTGTCACCTCCTTGCTTCTGGAGTTGGCCAAAGCATACGAATACCAGGCTAACCAGCATTAGTTCTGCCTTCTGGAACCCGAGTTCTGAAGATTAGCACAACAACACAAGTGTGGGAGAACCAACTTTAAGTCAGGCCAAAAGCAGGCTTTGCAAAATGTGCCCCCCGTGGGGATGGGGACTCCCTTCGGCCAGGGCTGCTCTCGGGAAGGACAACGCAGTACAGAGCAGCCTAGTGCTCTTTCACTGTTCTGCTTTTTAATAAAAGGCCTATGTTAGTCAACTTTCCTTCCTCTGATAGTTTCCAACACCCACAATTCAAAGGAGGAGAAGTTGAATTTGGCTTGTGGCTGCAGGGAACGCAGTCCATGGTTGGCTGGCTCCGAGGTAGAAACTTGGTGGCAGAAGGGTGTGGCAGGGCCACGCTCAGAATCACAGGGAGCAGAGAAGAGGAACAGTGCCACAGAGGATGGAACAAGGCACTAGGGACCAGACATAGCACACAAGACTTCAGTTCAAGAAGTTAATATTTGCAATCCCAAAGATATGTTATTGGAATCCCACCAAGTTAATTCTAATCTACCACTCCCAGTGCAACCCACGGCAAAAGACACTAAAACATATTTATAATTACTGGGGAGCCAAGGAGCCCTAAGTCCAGCCACAAAGATGGCTTTCCAGAACCAAAAGTCTGACCCAGGACCTCACCCAGTTTTATTCCATGGAGGAGGAGTGGCTTGAGGAGGAGTGGCTTGAAGAAGAATTACTGAGAATTGTGGGAAGTAGGTGAGTACTGTGAGCTGAGTGAGGTGGGTGGCCTACATTTACCTCTGCCATATGCAGAGAGGATATGCAGAGAGAGTAATCTGCTTTATGCTATTGAGATAGTATCTAATGTTTTGGGGGGTCTGGTGCTTCAGCTTTGATGTAGTCTTTCAAGCCCCAGGAAGTCATAGGCTCTTTCTCGAGGCTTGATCCCAGCCGGCATCACAGAGCCCTGGCTCTTTGTCCTGTCTGGACCCTGCTCACATTAAAGAGCAACAGGGGTAGGTTGCCAGGGAAACACACACCCCACCTTCAAAGACTATCACCAGCACCTCAGCTAGACCAATACACATTGCTTAAGGCTAATTGAAGGATAAACAGAAGTCCTAGCCAGCTCTGTACGTAACAATACGAGGAAATAGGGTCAGGCTCAGTCAAAATGGAGACAGTCGCTCTTCTTTCAAGGAGAGCTGTTCAGGTGGTCCTCCACACGCTAAGAGCTGGGCTCACCAGCTCCCCGGATGTCCCCCAAAGCCTCACGCAGTCATTGGTGGGCTTCTCAGAGGTGGCTGGATCTAGAGTGTGTGATGCTGGGATCTATCGTGTTTGATCACTAAATAGGTCCGCTGATCGTTTGGCATAATTCTGGCCATAGTTCAGGCCCACCCAGAGTGACTGCTATCCACCCCAAGGACACGTAACCTAGACGGAATACAAGGGACAGAAAGAGGGCTACACAGTCACTCACTGCTTGCCGCTCTTGTTGCGTCCTGCCTGTCATGAGCTGTCTCTTCTCTGCAATGCCCTCTGCCATCCACCCTGCCTTGGAGCCAGCCAGCTATGGACTGAAACCTCGACATGCTGTGAGCCAAATAAACCTTCCTCCCTTAACTCTGGGTATCAGATATTTTGTCTCATTTACAGGAAAAGTTGCAAAGACACCGCACAAAGTGACACCCCACACTAACCTCCATCAGCCTCCAACGTGCTGTCCAGGAATTTTCACCTCTAAACTATATCTTTTTTCTTTTTTTATGTATTTAGTACAGGGTCTACAAGGCCTACAGGGCTTGCTAGTAGATCGGACTCATAGTAACCTGCCTGTTTACAGCCTCCCAAGCCCTGGGATTACAGGTGTGCACCACCACGCCCAGTCTCTCTGGCTGTCTCAGGGCACCCCGGGACGGGGCCTGCATGGGATTGAACCTTGGCCGCTGCGCTCTGCCTAAGCAGGTGCTTTAGTCCGCTGAGCTATCTGGCCAACCCTCACCTCTAAGCTATATGTTAAGAAATGCCAGCAAGGTGACCTGTAGCTCTGAGAGTCCCAGCTGCCTTGGAGGCTACCACAGGAGGACCCCTTGGCCCAGGAGCTCCAACCTGAGCAACGTGGCAATCCCTGTCTCTTCTTTTCAAAAGGTGAACTGGCTGGGCATGGTGACCTGGACCTGTGATTCCAGCGCTCTCAGAGGCTGAAGAGGAGGATCACGTATCAGAGCCCTACCTGAGCAGGTTAGCCAGTAGGAAGACCTTGCCCCAAAATAGAAAGTAAAAAGGGCTGGGTACACAGCTTCATGCAAAGGCCTCGGGTTCCAAAATGAAAAAGCTACAAAATTAATCAAATAAATAACTAAGAAGGGTAAGTAAAGATGTATAAACAAAATGTTTACTGGAGCACTGTCTTTAAAAACTAAACCAGTCTGAATATCCAACAATAGAGGAACAAGAGGACTGACTAGATAGCTCATTGGATTAAAGTGCCTGATTAAACAGACGCAGGGACTAGGGTTTAATCCCCAGCCTGTCGCATCAGCCCTGCCCCCGGGACATGCTGAGATGGTGAATGAGACTGGGTGTGGTGGCACACACCTGTAACCCCAGTGCTTGGGAGGCTGAAAACAGGAGGGCCACTACGAGTCCGATCTGTGTAGTGAGACCCTGTAGACCCTGTACTAAATACAGAAAATTTAAAAAAGCATCTGTATCATCAACCTCAGGTATGAGCCCAATTCCATCTTGCCCTCCACCCTGTTGGTGAGGACCTTACCTCCTGCCACCCTCCCTCCTCCAGTCAGTAACTCTGCTAGTCAGTCTACTAATTCAGGCAGTCCCCTATGCACCACCTGCTATACTATTCATGAATCAAATTATTTGCAAATGGAAATGTTCATGAGCCAAGGCATTAATGTACTTCAAAGTAACTGTCAAGGAAGAAATAGTTTAGCTATAATATTTTTGTGTTTGGTTTGTTTATGCTTTACATTGTACCTTTCTGTAAAAGGTGTACGATTCACTCTTTTGGACTTGTAAATGCGTCCGATCTATGACTGTTCTCCCAGAGTGGAGCCTGTTTATAAGTCAAGGACTTAGAATATGAACTCTCAGGGGTCAATTGATTGAGAGTTCATAGCTGTGTGTACTGTTAGGAAGTGGGTCCTGGTCTGAAGACGTGTGTTAGGGTTAGACTTGGACGAAGGAGGGAAGAAGGGAGGGAGGGAGGGAGGGGGGAGGGGGGGGAGGGAGGGGGGGAGGGAAGAAAGGAGGCAGGGAGGGGATAGGGAGGGAGGGAGGGAGGGAGGAGGGGGGGGAAGGAGGGAGGGGGGGAAGAAAGGAGGCAGGGAGGGAATAGGAAGGGAGGGAGGGAGTAGGGGGGAAGGGAGGAAGGGAGGGAAAAAGGGAGGCAGGGAGGAAGGGAGGGAAGGAGTAGGGAGGGAGGGAAGAAAGGAAGAAAGGAAGGAGGGAGGGAAGGAAGGAAGAAGGGAAAGAGAAAACACTATGAAAGATTGTTTGCCAATGAATTGGATAACCTACATAACATGGACCAATGCCTAAAAACACTAAGTCTGCCGAGGGCTAAACTATGAAGAGATAGAAAATCTGAGTATACCTATAACTAGTAAGGAGATCGAAGCAGTCATCAAAAGTCTCTCAGCAAAGAAAAACCCTGTATCCAATCATTTCTATCAAACATTTAGGGAAGAATTAACATCAAACTTTCTAGAACTTTTCCAACAACTAAAGTGAAAGGAAAACCACTTATTCTTGAGGCCAACAGTAGCCTAATACCAAAGCCAATAAAAACCTAAGAAGAAAATACAGACCAATACCTTTTATGAACACTGATGTAAAATCCTCAACAGAACACTTGCAAACAAAATTCAGAAGGATATTAGAAGAATTATACACCATGGCCAAGTGAGATTGATCCCTGGAATGAAGTGAGCCCAGGGCAGGGGAGATAGCTCAGTGGCATAAGCGCCTGCTGGGCAAGCACAAGGCCCCAAGTTTGATCCCCGGTACGCATGCTGTGCTAGCCCCGGAACCCTGCAGGCACACTGTGCCAGCCCAAAACCAGGTAGGCGGTGCACTAGGGAGCACCGCACTGTAATCCCAGTCTGTAATCCCAGCACTAGAGAGGCTGAGACAGGAGGAACACTATGAGTCCATACTGAAAAGGGAGCCTGTTTAAAAAAAAAAAAAAAAAAAAGTGAGTCAACGTACAAGAAATGATCAATATAATGCAACATGTTAATAAAACGAAGGGGAAAACACAGGATCCTCTCAACTGATACACAAAAAAAGTCATTTGACAGAATTCAGCACAGTCTTGTGCTAAAAATAAAAAGATACCCAAATACTCAACAAACTAGTAAAAACCTCCCAGTAAGAAAAGTTGTGCCACCCTCACTCCAGGGTGCGCTGAGACAGCGATGGAGACTGGGCGTGGTGGCGCGCGCCTGTAATCCCAACGCTTGGGAGGCTGAAAACAGGAGGATCACTACGAGTCTGCTCTGTGTAGTGAGACCCTGTAGACTCCATACTAAATACATTTAAAATTTTTTTAAAAAAGAAAGAAAACTAAGAAATTCCATGATCCACTGAAGCCACATGTGGTAGCTAGGGCAACCCATGGTGTTGCCATGGCAACAGGCTGCTGGTTTGAAACGCAGATTCTTTTCATCCTGTTCCTAGGAAGTAAGTATCTTTTGGACTTGAGAAGTATTGGGACAGAAAATGCTTTAGGAGAATAAGTGGGCTGTTCAGAATCTGAGA